CAGCCCCTGAATCTGTTTTGGCCTCTCCATTTTGAGACCAGAGCTCTATCCTGCCTTTTCCCATGAAATCAGTGAGAAACGATGAGTAGAGAGAAGGAAAAAAGGAGATATAGATGCAAACACATCCTATTAATAAAACCTCCCACCCTCACAACCCAATCCAGTTTGCCTTCTGCGTGTCCACAGCTGAAATCTCTGTGCAGTGCAAATTCCAGGAAATGATGGTGGTGAAGTGAGGGTGGTGGTATACCGAATGGCAGTATATCAAGTAGTGACTGCATACCAATTGCTGTCAGTTGAAGATTTTTCAAGGGGAAATACCAGGTGGCCCAAAAAAATCCTGAACTTTAAATGCTTGCAGAGGGTGTACCATAAGTGTTATTGACAGGAAATTGACATACTTTTAAATGCCATGTTTGCAGGTAATGTAACAAAAATTTCTTTGAAATTGGTAGTAAATTACATGAGTATTAATTTTTCGCCCATGTGATGTCAAAAGAGCGAGTGTGCAAAGAAACACTCCTGACATCAATGAAAGAAATGTTTGATCCTCCATGGAAGTGTCCTCTGACAATTGCCTGCCAAGGCAACATGCCAGCAAATGGACAGACACACTTGCTCATTTGACGACTTGTACAGTGAGAGCTCTTATTTGGGTTCAGAGCAAGAACTTTCATTGAAAAAAACCCAACATATGTAGGCGGTTTCAGAATGAAACTGCCCACATATATTGGGTACAACACACAGAAAATTTCAAGACAATACTTAGCATGTGTCCCTTCTGCAGACACACAAAGTTCTGGCTTTATTTTAGGTAACCCTTTATTACATTCTCCAAGATCAGTACTATTCTCGTTTGAATGGTTGCATTTATAAAGTGAATTATAAATTTTTAGGCCGAGTTGCAATGGAAATTCTAGAATTGAAAATGAGCAGGCTGCCAAGCTATAAAGGCCAGTCTAGTACCCTGAAAACAACAGCAGAACAGTCAGCCAGTAATACAGAACTATTATAACAATGCTGAACACCTTGCCTGACATTTTAATAGTTGGACAAAGATAATAAACACAGATTAGAGACCTTTTAGGGGTTCCAAAGCATTACATGATCTGCTATCAAGACTTGGACAGAGGGAAATATAGGTCCAGACAAAGAGGGAGGTAATATTGTCCTTACCATGAACTGAGATGCGTGATGAGAAGTGTCCCAAGGCAAGATCAAGAAAGAGAGAGAACTCAGCTTCTTGACAGGCAGCAAGGAAGCGCAATATGAGAGCTCGTCGTGCTTTCACCCCTCCTTTCCCTTTTCCTTTGCCTCCTCCCTG